TCAGAACTCAACTTTTGAACAATAAAATATCATTTTCGGAATCAGAATCAAAAACTGAGTCGATTGATATGTATTTCGTAAGTTTTAATTGATTTTCAATTTTGAGTGAAAATCTCGGTAATTTTTTAACATGAAAATTCGAAAAAAATCAAAGTAGTCAGATAGGATAGACATACGTAGACATACGTTTGTAGAGAAGAGAATATCTTTAAGAAAGCTATAAAAGTTAGATCTTACGGAGTTATCTTCAGCGCATTCAGTTTTAGTCCAGTTCATGGCTATATGTAAAATGACACACACAACAACTAAAGGAAAGTCTTTCTTCACTCATCTTATTAAAATCAGAAAAATTTCTGCAACACAAAACAGGTTGCTCGATTTTCTCAGCTAATGTGAAGATCTATACAAGTAATAAGAGTAGCTACAAAAAAAATTTCAATCATATCGAGACCGAAACTTTCGAGACTCGAGACTACGCGAGACTAAAATTTCGGGTATCAAAACTTTTCGAGACTCGAGACGTCTCGTCTCGGTGCATGCCTATTCTGAATATTCTATTCAAGATTATGGATATGTTCTCTCTCCCCTCTTTAACTGAGTTTTCATCTGTGATTAACGAGGTTCGAAAGTGATGCTACGCTTCGTTGGTCGAAATCGCATCTCCGATCTGACAAATCTCGTGAATAAGAAACGAATGACTTGTCACGGAAAGAAGCGAGTGACGATAGACATTGAAGGGCAATGGAAGAGAAGACAAGAGCGATATGATGACGGCGAGAAAGGAGTCGACTAGATGACCAAGGACGCCATGCGAGAATCTTTGAAGAAAATACAGTGTTAAAACGCATGAAAAGGAACAAATGCCTGGCACCCAGTTTATTAGCAAATCGTTGAGCAGATAATTTAGCAACGAATCTATAACAAGTAGGTGAGATTTTCCGCTTTAATAAATGTGTTATCAATTTCTCAAAAACAAAAGGGTGCATTTGATTTTTCTAAATTTTATCGACCTTGGTTTCAATCGCGATCGCAAAAGATTATCTAGCTCTGCTGATAAAATTCTGTTTAGAAGCAGAAATAATATCTATTCAAAATTCTTTTGTCGACCACAAGAAACCTACGTAGCAAGAAACCTAGTAGAGGCTTTCTGTTCATAATACGCACTCTCCCTTCAAAAATCCTTCGGTTTAAGAATAATAATTATTATGAAGAAGGATATTTCTCGAATTGAACATGTAAAAAATAAATAGAGCGATGTTCATTATTATCAAAAAATGAATAATCGTGCTAGAACTTCTATAACATGGCACTCTTATCAGTCAAAACAGCTAGCGTCTTTGTTCCAAATAGAGAGACATAATAGGGAGTTTCCTCGTGCTGGCACGTCGCTTTCAATTTTCCATCTTTGCTTATGTGAATAAGACGTGAAGCACAGGAATCGGCCACGAGCCATGTATCTCGATTTAACAAACAACAGCGAATTAATGGGTGTCCCCATGAATATGAGATGTCGAGTGGAAGCCACCAGCGACGTTCGAGTGTTGTTGATGATCGAAGTTCGATTTTTATTTCTTTTGGAGACTTATTTTGAATCACAAGAGCAAGACTTTCACGATTCGAACCGATATCATCGATCCATTGGTCCTTTGCGCATGTATCAGGTGATTGCCATTTCTTGACAAACTTAATTGATTCTAATAAACTGAATTCCAGAATGGATGAGCCCCATACTCTTGTTGATAAGAACAAAGTTGTTTCAGAACATGTACAAGAAAAACAATCCTCCAGCTGTTTAATTCCTACCACGATCTCAATTGATATTTCATTTTCGTCGACGAGAAAAATATTTTTCAAAGTAATGACGATAAAACGAGTTAATCACGATGACCAACACATATCCTGAATTTCATCATATTTCCATAAATTCTGTTTAATTACGGTTAACTCTCGATCGAACAAACATAAATTTGGTTTTTTGTAAATCAATAAGAATCAATCATTAGTCGCCAATACCCTTGAATTGTTATCGGAACGTTTAATAGTCTGATAAACAGGTGGAAGATTGGAGAGATTTAATTGATTCGGGTTTGTTTCCACAATGTCAATGATTGAATCATCTACGACAAGAGGACGAATATTAATTCGAACAGGGATTTGTTCGATCTCTTTTATTTGTTCTTCGATATTTTGAATATTGAGAGTTAAAGCATCAATGTGATCAACAGTCGCTTCTCGTTCATGCATCAATCGACCTATTTTGAATTGGTTTTGAACAATTTCTTCTTGTTGTTCGTGGATTTTTTGAGAAATAAATCGACCGACTTCTTCATATTTTTGTTCATACAAATGATCAATTGTTTTATAAGCATCTTGACGCCATTGATTAAGTTTTTCATGAGATTGACTCAAGATTTGTTCAGCACTTATTGTCGTCAACTGATCACCGAGTTTGTTAATTCCATCGGCCAGCGGATTCAATTGAGCATTCAGTAAATCATCGTGTTCATTCAAATGATCACGACAAAGATTCTGATGGCAGCAATTGCAAAGAGCACGTGATACTCGTTTGCATGTCGTGATCGCACAGCTTTGAGACATGTGGTGGTAGAGAAGGAAAAAAATGCTACTCTGTGTGGATATTTGCACGCGTAATGTGATGAAGGATAGAACACCAGCAAATAAGGAGATATCTCTTTTCACACATGCATATCTTTCTGTTCTCTTTCGTTTCAATCGACGCGTTGAGACGAAAAAATGTTCGCACACGAGATATCTTATGTGAAAAGAGATATCTCCTTATTTGCTAGTACTCTAATAGAAGCGAAATATATTTTTTGTTTCTTATCACATGTTTACGGTTGTTTGCATAAAAACGAAAGCAAACATGTTTTGTTCCTGCCACAGCACAATGCGTATCGAACATGGTTGCTAACCAAAATAAACGATGAAACTAATTACCATATCAGAAAGCGAGAAATATACGACTTTGGAGGACAGAGTTTATGATACAGAGTTTGCCTGACAGAGTCTCCGAGCCGCCGAGATGTTTCATTCTATCCTTCAGACCCTTCGTCTGTGCAAAGAATTCTTTCTAGCGTACTTCATACGTTAAATGAGCTAAAACTAGCAAGGCAAGTCGGTTTTCGTCAGGCTGAATGCTATGGCAATATTTGCTTTTTCTTCAAATCGAAAGAACCTCTTTAGACGGACATCAATCAGCAAAACCCTGGCAGTCACAAACTGCAGAAAACAAGTGTATAATGAAACCTATCGCAGCATACCATGACATATATAACTTAAAATAATACGAACTATACATCATTCATCGATGAGATTTTGTAGACCTACAAATAGTCTTGTTCCGAATGAATTCGTAAATTGTTTTGTACATCAACCAACTTAATTCTTGTTCGATATTGCCAGAATTTATTGGAACTTCTCGTTGTCTATCATCAGCAAGGCAATTGACTGAATGTGTTGATTAGCTTTTTCATTTAGCTCTAGCAACGGGCAATTGATTTGAAAGACTTGCCTATCATGGCCCGGAGCAGAGGTGCAACCGGTACCGGTATACCGATACCGGCGCCGGTCCGGTACCGGTATGAAGTATAGCGCCGACCGATATACCGGCCAGTTTACCGGTACCGATATGAATTATAACGGCGACCGGTATATCGTGATTAATATGAAGTAGAATCAGTCGGCCGATATTTTGCGGTAAGAT